CACTCTGCTCAGTCTGAAGGAGCGCCCAAGTGCAGACTAAACAGGTTAGAGTCAATTGCTCCTGGATAATTGGATTATGTGATCAATTAAGCAACTTGTGGGGCAGAGGTAGGTCTTAGGAGGAAGAGAGGTGACAGACCAATATGGAACAGGAGAGAAATCATCAGCTCTTGTGGAATTAGAGCAAGCTGTAGCTATAGTTGTGGCCAGAGTTAGTGTGGCTCAAAAGCTATTCCTATCGTTGTTTCTTAAGTACTTACTCAACATACTGAGATTGCTTGCATGGTGTATATTCCCTGAATTTTTTTAGAATTGCACAGCTTTGACATAACAAATCTTTTCTGTCAATGGGAAAAATTATTAGAACCAAATTTGTATCTATTGGAATTTTATCAGGCCTCCCATACTGGCTTGAAATGTAGAGAAAAGTTCAAAAGTTGAGTCTTGTTTTGGGCTTTTTATAAAGCAGTGGGTTTTGGTAATTAGTAAAAATCATCTGATGAGCAGACTCATGTTAAGAAACAACTTCCTTTGTACCAATATTTCCTGTAAAAGAGACTGATTCTTCTCAGGTGTTGCAAGTATCTAGTCAGAGCTCATCATCTTGGTTTCCTTTGTGGTTAGTGGAAGAGGGGAGAGAGATGATGTCCTACAGATTGCATTTCCATCCCTGCTGGTTTAGGATGGGATAAACTGCTCTCTGAAGAAGAAAGTGTCTTTTGGGTTATCAGAGGGAGCACAGGTCTAAGTATGCACCAAGTATTTTCAGGCAGCTAAAGCTGTGGGAGGCGAATCCCACTGAATATGTCATTTGTTAAGGTCATTGTGTGGGCTGTGACATAAACTTTATGGTGTATGTTTCTTGTATAGCTTTCATTTATATTTTAGCATGGCTGTTGTAATCAGGTAGCCTTGCTGGTTATATGAACGAGCAGTTCTCTTGGCTCCTCTGGATGCCACGTGCATGGGAAATCTGTAGCAAACTGTACCATTAGTGGGGAAAAAAAAGGTTTTACCTTCTTCTATTAGCTTGTGAAACAGCTCATGTATCACCTTGTTTTCACATGAGGAGGCAGAAATTAAGTCTATTTTTTTACTCTTTCAAGTTTAATCATACAAATCTTCTTGGAGTTTCTTCCTCTGCTAACTTCTAAGAGAGTCCTTCTTTTGCCTGCCAAAACCTTACTGTTCTGGAATTATGCTAAGAAACACAGCATTACAAGCTTGAACAGTACAATAGGTTTATACAATAGCTTTGGAATATTTTTCCTGTTATTTTCCATCTCTTTTCTTATGTATGCAAACAAGGTATTAGCTGTTGTGATCACTGATACCAACTGAGCAAATGTTTTCATTGAGCCTTCCATGCTGATGCACAGGTATGGCTTTTGTTTTTGCTGAGCTGATAACAGCTCACTTTACCCCACCAGCGAGCTGCTCAAATTAATCCCTTTTGTGTGCATTGCTTTGCATTCATAAGCATCTAATTGTATTTGTTCCTGATGTTGAATCACTGGTAACTCCCACACATGGAACAGTAGATACTACACAGATGCTAGAATACAGGGCAAAGAATAACCAAAACTGCTAAAGGATTGCCACTCTAGCTCCTCAAGAGAACTAGGCAGAGTCTTGTATTTGTCTCCTGTGTTGGAGGAAAGTCAGCATAGTTCTGGCTTCCTTTCAGCCAGGCATTTCTCTTAATACCTACTCCTGAGAAGACTATATTCATTCTGCCTTTTGACAGCTTCACTGTAGTCTCTTCCGACCTTCTGCTGTCCTGAGCTACTGAGGATAAGGAAACTTTTGGATTTGACTCAAAACATTGGCTGTCTTAAGCCCCACCCTGGCTTCTGCCTTGGTTTTTTTCCAAGTGATCTCAAACTAAGGAAGGGTGCTTGGCTGCACACCCTGCTGTGGTTTCACTGAGATTTGAGGGTCTCAGATGCTTAGAGAACAAGTTAGGCTGCTTTGCTGAGAGCATAGATTAGTAGTGTTATTAGCAAACAGTGCTGTTCAGGTCAACAGAGGGCTGAGAAATTTTGCAAAACAATGTATATATATATATATATATATATATTTGCAATGAAATTCACCTATTTTAACACAAATACTTCCATGAAAATCCAAATTAGATCTTAAGCTGAAACATGATGTTTTGTTTATAGCATCTTTCACCATTCATATCTGCCTTAGTTCTGATATATTATGCCTTCAGGATGACACAGACGTTATTTTTCCCACATCCCATATGTCCAAATCACATATAAAGATATTTAGCTCAAATACCATGGGTGCAAAAAATTCCACACTCTGGGTCCAGGGTGACGTTTGCCGTGTCTTTAATGTGCTGTGGTGTTCAATTACAATACAGCAAATTTATTTTTATGCAGCCTTCTTCATTGAAAGTATGGAAAACTGCTTTGCAGTGAGTCATCTGACAGCTAAAGAACTAAAAGTCTGTAGTGATATTTAAAGAGAAAGTGGCTCAGAGATGACAGAGTTCAAGACAGAAAAAGAAACAGAAATTAAAGAGAGGGCCTCCAACCATGGAGAAAATAGCGACAAAGACTGGTTAGGAGGAGGAGTGATGAGAAAGCCAAACATGCTGAGAATGTCTGAGACAGTTCAGAAGATTATGCATATCATTCTGAAACAAGCATTAGGCTACAGAGGTCTCTCCTGTATCACACCAGGCTTAGCCAAGCAAGGTTGCTTTGACCCTAAGAGAATGGTGTAAATCCAGATAAATAACAGTACTAGTCTCAGGGCATTGTAAGGAATTTAGGAGCATGCAGGTAGGGGTTGAGGGAAGGATTAATGTCTTAACTTTCTAGAGCAAAACATTAGAATATGGTGTTTTCACCTTGACTGAATGCCATGCACCCACCAAAGCCATTCTGTTACTGTCCTCAGCTGGACAGGAGATAGAAGATATTACTAAAGGTTCACAAGGGCAGGGAGAGATCACTCAGTGATTACTGTCATGGGCAAAACAGACTCAACTTGGGGAAACTAATTGAATTTATTACCAATAAAAATTAGAGCAGGATAGGAAAAAGTAAAATCAAGTCTTAAAAGCACCTTTCTGTTCTCCCCCCAATCTTCCCAGGCTAAACCTTATTCCCAGTTCTCTACCTCCTCCCCACCAGCAGCATAGGGAGATGAGGAATGCGGGTTTCAGACTTTTCATCTCCTCAGGGAAAGGAGTCCTTCTCCTTCTGTGGCATGGGGTCCAGCCCTTGGGAGACACTCCTCCAGCATGAGTCCTTTCCATGGACTGCAGCTCTTCATGAACTGCTCCAGCATGGCTCCTTTCCCACAGCATGCACTCCTTCAGGCTCGGTTTGGGTCCTCTGGGGGGTCACACTCCTGCCAACAAGCCTGCTCCAGTGTGGGCTCCCATCACCACAGGACCACAGATCCTGCCAGGAGCCTGCTCCAGCATGGCTTCCAGGGAGGTCACAGCCTCCCTCAGGCTTGCACTTGCTCAAGTGGAGGGTCCTCACAAGAGGATCTCTGCTCCACCATGAACTTCCATGGGCTGCAGGGGCACAGCTGCTTCATTGTGGTCTTCACCACAGACTGCAGGAGAATCTGCTCTGGCATCTGGAGCATCCTTCTCCACTGACCTTGGTGTCTGCAGAGTTGTTTGACTTGCATATTCTCACTCTTCTGTAGTTGTAATTGCATCTGCACAATAACTTTTCCCTCTTCTTTAACTATGTGTTACATATATATATATATAAATGGATAACTGTGTTACCCCTGAGGCATTGCTGCCATCACTGATGTCTCAGCCTTGGTCAGCAGCAGGTCCATCTTGGAGCTGGCTGACATTGGCTCTGCTGGACATGGGGGAGGCTTCTAGCAACTCTTCACTCAAGTCACCACTGTAGCCCCTGTGACCAAAATCTTGGCATGCAAACTCAATACATAAAAGAAAACTGGAATTCTGCAATCCATGTTGTTTAAATGTGCGAGGATTTTGTTAGATCATGAATGAGGGAAGTCCAGTTAGTTAGACAGCAATTATTATAGACATGAATATGGACTTCAGCAGCAGTGCACTCAGAGGCAGGATAGTTGTTTTGCTTCTGACCATTTCTTCCTTGGCTAGTGCTAAAGGGGCTAATTGTCAGAAGTGAGTGTGGGGGAGAAAAAATCAGTTCAGGGTCTGAGATTACTTTAAAACTTTGTGTATAGGGTTAAGATCTGAGTAAAGAAGTGCAAAAGCTGTCTTAAGGAGCAAGAGGGACTTATTTCCTGTAACATCTGAGGCTTTTGAAGAATTTGATAGTAAGGAAATGATAATGTAGCAAGGGAACAACAGAACCAAGGCAGGCTGTTAAAGAAATTAGAGATTACTTGCCAAGGTCACTGTTGCCTTGCATGCTTTTCCTATAAAGTTGATGTCCAAAACTGAGCTAGCAGTAAGATATCCCAAAGGAGGAGAATGTTTAAGGAGGAGAAAAGAGATGAGTCAGAAATAATGCCTGCTGTTTTTAGAGCACAGCACTGTCATGAATGGATATCATTAATATAAACACTATCATCTTTGATTGTAAATTATGTACATTCTTCTTGTCTTCTTGGTCAAGTCTACCAGCTTGTGGTGTGGGACTCTTTGAGAAGCTCTCTCAGGTCATGTCACCCAGTCTGCCCATACTGGTTTTTTGCTCTGGGCATTCTGTTGACCTCACTCTGTATAGAACTGTATTATCTGCCTTAAGAAAATAAATGGGATGTAAAGTATGTAGCATGAAGGAGAATACAGTCTTTATTGAAAGCAGAAGGGAAAAAAGCACGTCTTTTTAATGCATTCAGAAAAGTTGACTTTGACATTGTAGTACTGAAAGACATTGTAAGCATAAAAGTAAGGTTAGAGCCACTCAGGTGTCCCAGAATTTGAAGGGTGTCATATTTCATTGTATGCAGTTCTAAAATGCTTATTACAGATCTTCTTATTTACAGCTCTCATGTCTCTTTTGAATCCGCAGAAGAGGAATATCAAGGGCAAACCAAGAGAAAGCGCATTCGAAGGAAGAAACAAAAGAGCAGTTCACAAATCTCTAGTAATTTCCTTGGAGAACAAACAGATTTGGGAATGCAAGAGACTGTTGTTCAAGATAATTTACAGCTGCAGCAAACAGACGGTCCCAAAATAAGCAAAAACAAGAAGAGGAAAATGAAAAAGAAGCGACAGAAAGAAAAAAAGAGAGCAGCTGGCTTAGTAACAAAAACTACCAGCGTGGATTTTACATATCAGCCTGAGAAAAGCAACAAAGAAGAAGCAGCAGGCTTAAAAGACATAGGTGAAAAGGCAGATAGCATTCTGGACTTCCTGCAGGCAACACAACAAATTTATTTTACTGACAGTATGTACCACTCTTTCTCCTTTCTTTTTATGAGTATTACCACACAGGGGAAAATGGATATGCATTTATTACCGCTATAAAATGGGACAAATCTACTAAAGAAGTGTCTCTCTTGAAGAGAGGCATGTGAGAAGAAGTAAGGCATGTGAGTACCTAGTATTTGTCCCACTTTCTGGTCTGCACATGAATATGCAAGAATTCATATCAATAGAAAAAACCTGTGGTCCTGTGTCTTTAAAAATATACATGATGTTCCTTGCTCTTCTCCTAAACATTCAAATGCACTTGGGGCAAGTGATTAAAATTCTTTTTCCCCTCTGCAAGCAACCATCCAGAAGGATTAGTTGCTTTCAGAGAACTTCAAACAAGAACTTCAATTGCTACGCTAAACTACTTTCATACTTAGTATCTCTGAACCAATCTAGTTTTCTGAATGCTCTGTGTCTCAGGAGATCTATTTGAATTCTATAAGGAAATATAGACAGACAGCATGTACAGGAACAGGGAAGATACTATCGGCACTAGGAATTATATTAACATAAAATGCTTGTGAACAAGTTGAATGGGAGCTGATGCTCAATGCACATTCCCTAGTACTTTTAAAAGAATTGCATGGATTTATCCCTAATGGCCTATCCAATGTTCATTGGTCACTGTGGAGCTGAATGGAGAATATTAAATAGCTTACCTACCTGTATTAGTCCATCTTGAGGCAGAGCTATCAGCTTCTAGTACCATAAAATTCATCTTTTGGTTACAGAATTACTGTAAAGACCTTGTTAAGATGACATCAGGGATTTCATGTTAACTTTTTCAAGATTTATACATAGAATTTTCTTTGCTTAATGTTAAATTTTCCTGCCGCATCAGGTCTTCACACTAATCCTAGCATTTGAAATCTATCCTACTTTCTGGCTAAGGTATTTCCATCACCAAAATTAACAATTTTACTACTTCACCATATGGCTAAGTAAATGCAAGCTAAGCTACTTTCATTTGCTGTAGTGGAACTCCACAGTGACCAAGCAAGACTGCAAATTCTTCAAGTTCTGCTGTTAATACATGACCCAGAACAGAAACCTGATGAGTTGTCCCCAGCTGTGTTGCATGTTGATTTTTAAGAAAGAGTGTTGTTGAACTGCCAGCTTTCCTGCTAGTCAAGTTCAGATTTTGGTAGTTTTTGGCAGACTGACTGGCTGTAGTTTCAAACCAGCAGATTAGAGTGTTGAGCCAGTGAGGACCTTGGAATCTACAAAGGAGAATTCTTAGTAGAAAGGAATTTCATCTGCAGATGAGATATGACATCTATAAATCAGAGTGACTAACTTTCTTGTTAGGCAAATCCCAGTTTATATATAGATCTGGCATTATGCTGTGCCTTTTCTAGTTTAATGACTTTAACACTCCCTATTTTTTTTTAGATAAAATTGGAAGCCATTGCTTTTAGGTGCATTTTCAAATGGTCACATTGGATTACACTTCTAGTACATGCATTAAAAATCTGAATGGGGAAAATTCTGACCTTCTCAGGTGTCTTGCTGTAAAAAAACAACACATTGCTGGGATGAAAGAGTGAGTTTATGATTTAGTACTGTATAAACAATTGTATTGGGTGTGGCTGTGCTGGAGCTCGTTGTGCACAGCAGCCCTCAAAGTGCTTTGGAAAGGCATTGAAACACACCAGAGTGTTGGTTACTGCTGGGCAGTGCTGGCAGCTTATCTCTCCAACATTTCCCTCCATCAAGGGGCTGGGAATGGGCAAGATCCTGGGAGGGGATGCAACCAGGCCAGCTGATCCAAATTAGCCAAAGGGATATTCCATACCAGATGACATCAGCTCAGATATAAAAGCTAAGGGAGGGAGGAAGAACAGGGGTGTTTGTTCTTTTACAGTATTGGCCTTCTAGAGCAGCCGCTACATGGGCTGAAGCCATGCTTCCCAGGAAGTGGCTGAATATCACTTGCCGGTAAAAAATAGAGAATAACCCTTTCTTCCTCTTTAATTATGTGTCTACAAACATTTGCTAGGTTTGGTTGGATTTTTTGTGGTTTGGGGCTTTTTAGCAAACTGCCTTATCTCAACCTATGAGCTGATTTTCATCTCGTTTTCTCTGCCCTGTCCTGTAGCCACATTTCACAGAGAAAAGCCAGGCACAATTCTTCCCAAGAATATTTCTGGGATTCACATTCTCTGAACCTCAGAGAAAGGAAAACAATTCTTATCATTTGCTGTGCCTGTGATTGTGCAAAAGTAGAATGCAACATGGAGATTTTTTACCCAAAGTCATGATGTTTTGTTTCCTTGGCCTATCAGGGCCAAGAGTGTGTTTGTCGGGACTGTCGGGTGACAGTCACGGGATTCAGTGCAGCGTGAGCAGTTGTGTGCAGAGTTGAGTGCTTGGCAGATTCAGTTTTGGATAATAAAGTAATTAATTAACCTCCTGATATCCATGGAGTCAGATGCATCATTCTCTGCCCTCATCAGGGCCATCACAGCATTGCTATACTGTCCCACTGGGCAGGGAAGTGATAGAGCCTCTTGATGGGCACCTGGCATCCAGCAAAGATCAGCCCATTACAACAATGCATGTCCTTCTCTGTGGTCTTGCATGCTGCAATAATTGCTTCTTAAATAAAAAAATAAAGGTGGAATACCAAAGTAGTTGTTTGCCTCCAGAAGTGTTTTGCAGTTGTTCCACAGAGTTGCTCCCTTCTCCAAATGTCTGTGCAGTTCATCATATATAGTGTGTAGGAAGCAAAAACACAGTGCTTTGGCCACAGTACAGTTTCTTCTTCACACCTTCTTTCTCTTCTAACTTTGAAAATTTGATTCTTCTTGTATTCCTATCATTATGAATCCTATTGTCCTTTTCACTTACTGATTTTTGTAGTTTTTGCTTTACCATTGTTTTAATATTTAACAAAAAATGTTTAACAAGCTACTCTTTAGTACCTGATATTTGGTTGTAACTTGTACTAAAAAGGAGGATGCTGTCTTAGGAAAAAATATTGTAATTAGGAAAATTCTCTCAGTTCACTGAATATTTTAACATATTTTTCTAACTGTTTTTCCAGAGAAATCACAATGCAGAGATGCTGCTGTAAATTCAGCAACTGTCCAAGAGCTCTTACAATGTCTTGAACTTCGCACCATCTCTTCCTCAGATGTGACTCATCTGCATCAGCTGAAATCCCTTGTATTGCTACAGGATACTGAGAGATTGAAGGATGCTTTGAAACAATTCCAAGAACAATCTATGATGTCTCCTGGTAGGTTTTATTCACTCATGTTCATACACTGATATTTTTTTGTGAATTTTAATTCACACAAAGCTTTTTTTTTTTTTTTAATTAAGAAGCTGTAAATAAGGATGTAATAGTAAATATATGCTTATACAAGATATGAAAACATAATTCCTACCAAAAATACAGTGATATCCCTATTTTCCATTTCTTCACAATCAATATAGAAGCTTTTCTCACTTCGCAGCAACTACAGAATATGAGATGATTCAAGGGTTTTAACCAATATTTTTAAAATCGGAAATGTTGTAAGATTTAATTTAAGCATATTTTTAATACATTCCCATGGTAGACTTTTTAAATTGCAGGAATTAACTTGTTTATCTTGGAGATTTCACTCCTCCAGCTAAGAATTAATTTTACATGCATAAAAATCAATAAAGCCTATTATTTTTTTTCTTCTTGGTCACCACGTGGCTTCTTTATTACACAGACTTTGCAAGCTAAACTTTGATTTACCCTTTTAGTTTCTAAAAAATACTGTTGATAATAGAAAAATTTGAAGTTACTCTTTATAACAAATATTATTCTGAAGTCATTCATAAAAAGAAAAATTACTTTGTTACTAAATTTTTTCATGCCTGAGGCACAGGCTCCTTCTGTTCTCTATTATTACCCCTATAATTTCAGTAGAATCTCTTCTTCTACAATTAATAGTTCTTCAAGTGAATGTGGGATCAGCATGTAGTCCACATGAGGTATAATGATTCATTTTTCATGTAGTCTTCATTTAAACAGTCATTACTACTAGTCATTAGAACATGTGTTGCAGCATCAGACAAAAATCTACAAGATGTGCTGAATTTTCTTGCCTCCCAAAGAATTTAATCAGAGTTGAGAGCAGTTAGCTGCAGCATCAGAGGATCTCAGCCATTTTAGGTTGTACTCTGAAGAGTATCAGCAGAGATGGTAGCAGTGTGGTAACAATGTAATTAAGATCATAGCCATCGGAGGCTTAGCAACAGCATTCAAAGAACGGACATATGCTTGTAACTTCATTAAATAACTTACAGCATGATACTGCCTAAAGAGCCTCATCTAGACTGAAGCCTACTGGATGCTGTGTGCTGCACAGAGAGAGGAGAGAATTCCTGCCTGTGGAGTTCACATCTGATACAGTTTGAAAAGGATGCTCTTATAGAAGTTACTATGTATTCTTTTAAGGGGAGATATGAGGTATTACAGCCCTTAGGGTTCTGATGGATGTGAAATATCCATCTATACATGGAATTAAATCCTTCTGTGCATTTCAAGCCTACAATCTCTGATCTTAATTACAATCACAGTTTCATTGGATGTAATACATGTGTGCAAACCAAGTGGAACTCAGCAGGAATCATGAAAATGTTATTACCCTTTATTGAATGAACTAATTCAGCTTTTCTTGATTAAATCCAAATGGAATTGCAGTGACAACATTTGGGATATTCTTTACAGGCCTTATCTAACTTCTGTACAATACAATTGGAGTTCTGTTGGGTTTTGCAGCCTTGGGAAAAGTTGCTCTGTTTACTTTTGTATAGCAGAAATGTCAAAATGAAGAGAGAAAACAGAAGCAAATTAAAACCCCTAATTTTCCAATGTATGTATTCATCACTTGAAAAAGCAAAAGAAAATTTCCTGAGTGATTTTTAAAATTCAATAATGTTTCTACTGGTGCAGCCTAGAATTGTTTACTCTTCAGTTGATTTTTTCCCTGGTAACTGCTGTCACTCAAAGCTCAATTCTAATCTCATTCCAAGTTCACAGTGGTGTAACCATAGCAGTTTATTTGATATTCATGAGGTGCAACAACACAAGAAAGAGGAAAAATACATTCTTATAAATTATTAAAGGATAATTAAGCACCTGCTAGTCATTTAGTTTCCTCAGCAGACTTTAAAAAATACATTCTATTTGTAATTCCAGAAATTCAGTGAATGAAAATACAATGCTCTGAAATTTTACTTTGAATTAGATCTTTAATTATACTCTTTTTCTTTTTCTGTACATTTGGCTCAAAATCAGTTCATCTTGTCCAATGTGGATTTTTTACATTTTAGTTTTCACTCCCAATGAGCATGTGATAAAAGTTAAGAGTTACAAAGACCTTTGTAATATAATACCTTTCTATAATAAGAACTTGAATTTGTTAGTATGCCGTTTGTTGTACTAACAAATTCAAGATAGAAAGACAAGTTAGAGCTGTTTATGAAGTTAAAAATGCACAGTACATAATAGTATTCTCTAATTTTTATGATTTTGTCCTATTCTCTTGAGTTTTCTCTCTTTATTTTTACGGGGATGCAAAGTACTAGAAGGAAAGGTCATTCCATATTAACACCATAAAAAACCCCATGATTTTAGGAAGTTGTATTATTTTTACAAAATAAACATTTTATTCCCTGTAGTTCAAGAAATAGTATGTTAACCCTTTTTCCCATAATTATGATTCTACTCAAGACACCATCATCAAGGAGGTAAAGATGGGTTTTGTTCATGTTTTGTTCAGATTTATCTTTAATTCCAAGAAGGGAAGCAGAGAAGCATAAGAAAAAAATAAGAAGTGATGCATCTCTTCATATAAGTGCACATTCTCCACTAGTAGAAGTTACAAATTATCCACACCATTATGTCTTTTATTTCCTCATATATGGATGTTATGGTTTCATCGAGCTTTCCACTGGGATTACCAAATCTCACTTGGCAAGCTTATGGCTGCTGATGATAAGGGTGCTTTAGTATAAAGCCATGGGCTGTTCCAGGACTGCAGATTACAAATTCAAAACCACTAGTTTAATACCATGATTTGGTATTTCCTTTGCATCTCTTAGCTGTTACTCAGATTGAAAATCACAGTGCATCCAAAAGAAAAAAGAAACAAGAAAGAAATTTCTGTTTTATCTTAAGCTCTTAGATCCCAATTTTTGCAGTCATATCAAAGAAATTCTTATCAAGGGTGATGGTAGGGTCTGATAAATTTTGCAGGAAAAAGAAATACTGAGGAGATTCAGACACACAAATTATCAACATTAACTATGATCTTTTAAATCCTCATTTAAATGAGAAAAAATACTTAAACAAGAAAATCTCTATGTTTCAGAGGTACTGGTTGTTCTGTTTAATTGTCATCCTCCATCAGCTTACCTTGTACTTTGTGCTTTAAATGCTCTGTCAAGTTGCCTTTCACCTTGTACCTGAATGATCAGATGAAGTTGAGGTTGGTGAAGAGTGTTTGTGTGAACATGATTATCTAGAGTGTCATTGTTCTCAGTCTGTAAAAGAGAACAAAATGGTTCCATTTATTCTGCAGTCATTAACAAAAAGTACTTACCTCTACCAAAAATCTTCTGTATGTGAAGAGAAGGGAATGTTTAGAAGTCACTTAGACATGGATTTCTCATGATGGGAGCTTTGCTGAGCTCTGACAGAAAGTCTGTGGCCGTTAGCAGAAGGAAGCCAGAGACCTTCATGATCCTCCACAGTGCAGTGGGCAAAGGAGAAGAGCTGTGACTGCAAGTAATGCTCCCTTTGCTGGCTGGAAACTAGCTTTGGAAATGAGAGCTACTTAATTCCCATTTCACATCAATTATTAAAGCATAGGTGATCGCCTAATTAAAAAAAAGTCATTATCTCCTAATTTATGAACTCATTTATGAACTTCTGCTCATCAACTTCATCCTGTTATCTGTTAACATTTTCCTTTTGTTGGTTGGTTTCAAATCTCAAACATACTCTTCCCTTGTTGCCTAGGAAATTATCACTCCTCATGGCAGAGCTAGAAGCTTCTTTTAACTGCCTTTTTTTGGAGAATTGTCATTTATATAAGTCTTCATTGCAGGGGGAGGTACAGTTTGCAGACCAGAATTAATATAGTTACTGTGTGCCAACAATGCAGAGGCTGGATATGCAGAAGCCTTAAAATAATGAAATTTATGCTGCTTTTTTTTTTTTTTTTTTAATGAATGAGCATTCAAAGAAAAGGAAATTTGAAAACTGTATTAGCATAATGTTATAGAATCATTTTAAATGTCATTATTATGTGATAAGTACTGCTGAAAATCTTATCATTAAAAATCAATAAAGTCACATAGGTAATCTCTGAATTCAAAGACAGAAGTCATAGCATTTTGAGGCTTTAATGCAGCTATCTGTACAATATGACTCATTCTCAACTGAGGCTTCTAGGTGCTATTGTAAGTTAAATAATGATCTGTGAAACTACTCTCCAGACAGAAAGAAGCCTTGCCCATGATTATGTCATTTCAATCTCATTTTTTCTGAATTATTGAATCATAACAAATAGGAAATTTCAAAGTGTATGAGCAAAATTCTGTCTCATACAAATGACTGACCTCCTAAAATAAAATGCACCTGCCTATATAGAAATTTATAGGTAATAGTCTTCAAGGTCCAGCATGTGCATTGGGTTTAATGAAATGTTAATATTGAATGGAAATAGATGTTTGCACAAGTCTTTTTCTTAGTGTTCAGAAATGTCATGGAGGTATTTCAGGAGGAATGTGTTTTCTCTGTTTCAGATCATGCCAAGGTAGCCACATCTCTGTTTCACTACTGGATTACAGATATACTTCCTGTGAAGAACAGGAAATAAAGCCTTACCCATGTGTCCATATGCACAGGATTAAAATTTAATATACAAACTCTTAACCAAGTAGCAATTGTTCAGGAAGAGCAGTGGCAATACACTTTCTACACCTTCAGGTAAATGAACAAAAACTACAAAAGACAGTGAAGGCAAATGAACAAAAACTCCAGAAGACAATAAAGGTATGACTACAATGTGAATTTTGTCATGGGTTGATCAAGAGTATGGCCTGAGTCTTCAGCTGCATTAATATGTGCATTTCACTTTAGGATAAAGGACTTGACTGGAATGATAAAGTCTCTATCTGGTATTTTGTTTAAGAAGTATAGTGTTATTTTTTTTTTTTTGTTTGTAAGTTATTATTCCTTTCTGGAAGTTATATTTCTTGACTTTTTTGTATATCTGCTTGCCTGGAAAACAGAATTATATTTTTTTATATTTAAACCTAAGCAACATTATGTCTGAGAAATGTATTTTTGCTGAATAAACTGCTAAATTGTGGACATAAATATGTTTCTATATGTGTGTCATGTGGGTCATGTAGTTCCTGGTTGGGATTATGCAGAAACTTGGATGGCATTTTCAGAACTAGTCCATGGCTCAGCCTGTTACAATCCAATGGGTTTCACTGACTACAGAGTTATGGTACTGGGTCCTCTATCCCTGACTACTGTGTAATCTGTCTACTGCTGTATAATATTTCTGCAATTGAATGTATCCAAGTGTAGATGCTACAGTAACATCCATGGTTGTAAAATGTTTTGGAATAATGAAGAAAGAAGTGCTTTGTGAGAGGCTCTTCTCTCAACTGTATCATTCATCTGACAGGTAATAACAGCCAACCAAGTCTTATATCTAGGTGTGTTAACTTTGTCATCAGTAAGATAGGGGCAACATATTTAGCTTTTCCAACATGTGCTTGGAGATACACTGCTGATGAGACTACAAACATTGCATGGGGTTTTTTGCTTTGTTTTTTCTGTTTCATTCTATTGCCTGATATATCCTGTTGCAAGGCATTGGTTTAATGATGCTCAAAATTTTTAACAAAAGTAAAATCATAACTTTTTCTCATTAATTGAAGAAATTTAAAGGGGTTTAGTAATACACCAAATGATTGCAGCTGCAGAAAAACCATTCTTATGGCTAAGGGAGCTTTGTGCAGCTCTGAAGAACCGGAGTTTGGTTTGTATCTGGCAGGAAAGGTATATAAACCAGACTTTGCAGAGGAGAAACTAGTACTGTGCTCCCTGTTTTAATGTTCCCAAATTGCTAACACATAGGCATTGAACTGTAGCTGTGACTTTTCACTGAGGTCCTGTGTGCCTCAGTCCCTCATCTGGAGAAAGAAGAAAACATCACTTGAATGTGAAGCACCTAGATACTCTTCTTAACTGACTGATGGGAAATGAATCACTTCATCCTTCATCCTCACTTTAAGGTTTGAATTCATGCAGTAAATGAGGCCCAGAAATTGCAAAAAAGGATACACAGCGACTCATTAGGCAAACATCATCTGTCCTGAACACTGAACATGATAAAAATGAGCAAGGTCATGTGATCAAAGACAGACTTTTGAAACACAAGTACAAAAGAGATCAAATTAGGACCACAAAGATAACTGTAGTGTCTGCATTTCCTGATACTTGAGTGACTATGCTGAGGGGTTATAGGGCTGCTGCCTTGAGTAAATCCCAGGACTTGGCAATTCCTCCTCTTTGTCCTCTGGATTCCAGGTTAGTGTACCTGGAGGTGTGGATGTCAGTGTAGGTGACTCATTTCCAGGCAGGTTTCCACATTTCCAGGTTCTGTCAGTAGCAGTGCTCAAGCACATAGCTCAGGGGCACACCCACAGCACTCACATGGCTGACTACACTCCCTTTGATCCCTTGAATGGCAGCACAGCCTCTCTCCTATCCCTGCCTGGGTCCTGGGCCCTCTTGCCTGTTCTGTGGCTCTCCTGCACACCTCCTGCAGTCCAGCCTGGAACACACTTCCACACGTTCACACACTCATCTCACAGGCACTTGTGCACTCATGTCACAGCCTTGTTTATTGCTTTGATTTCTCTTACTATTTCTCTTTCAGTGCTTGGCTTTTTCTCATAATCACAGAATGGTTTCTATTTCTCATAATCACATAAAGGTCATCAAGTTCCAGCCCCCCTGCCATGGTCAGGGACACTTTCCACTAGACCAGATTTCTCAATATTAAAGTGATTTTTAAAATTCAACTGAATTTTGAATATTTGCATATAGATGAACAGATTTTGATATCTTTGTCAAACAGAAATATTTTCACAGAATCACAGAATGGGTAACATTGGAAGGGATCCCCACAGCAGGATCATCTGGTGCAGCCTCACTGCTAAAGCAGGGTAAAATTTTGTACTATTCCAGTGAGTAAAAGTTCACAGGTCAAAAAAATACTTTGCTTGAACCAGGAAATAATGCATAAAAGATTACTTTTGATCTCTCTTTTTTTCCCTTTGCTTTCACCACTGTAAGAGCCTTATATTCTGTGCACAAATCAGCTGGCCCCAGCTAAGCAAGCCCAGGAGCATTGTCTGAGCGTTGTCAGTTAGTCAGCGATACCTGGTGTCTTTGCAAATGACCTGTGATAGGAGCTGAATCTTAGACTTACCAAACCTGCCACAGTTGCACTAACAGGGATTATGAAGAGGTTAAAGTATGCTAAGAGTTTAGAAAATTGACCAAATTCAAGAAGATAAATTGTAGATTGTCATTGGAGATAAATGCAATTGCATAAGTGTATTTGTTTCTGAAACAAATGTGTCAGTGGTGTGCTGAACTGCAACATGCATGAAGACACTTAAAAGCAATGCACAAAAGAACACAGCCGAAAAATCTAGTTTAAAACAAAAGAAATGGACGTTACTCATCATTTAAATTAGGCAGTCTACTAAAAATGGTAGCAGGTGCATATTTGACATTCTATTTGCAGTCTAAAGGATTTCATACATCACAGTTTTAATACCTAGTCACCCTTCTGCACTGCTTCTCTAAAGAAATGGTGCTCAATCTCCTTACAGTTTCTCAGGTTTATTGAAGCAGTGGTATCACAATGTGGCTGAGATATGAAAACTGAAAAATTTAAATTAATATCCACTCGTGAACATTGTTTTTCATTCCACTATACATGGCGCCTTCAACGTAGCAATGAAAGATTTCTCCCTTTAGATTTTCATGCTAAACTTAAAAATGGTAAAAGATATGGCTTCGAATTTTTGCTTCTCCAGCATCACTCAGTTTAATGAATGTGCTGCAGCATGTGGAATTACTGAAACATGGAAGAGTTTTTTAGATGGATTTTGCCTCAGAATACTTCCGGCTAAACTGCACATACACTATTATTAGCATATTTCAAACTTCCCTGAAGACAGAACTTTAAAATTTTGGGTTTAAAACCTGCATGGATCCCAAGAGTAGGAAGAATTTAAGGATCAAGTGGAAAGCAATCTGCATGTGTCTTCAGGGGTTAACTTTCTAGTTTACATTATTGAGCAGTGCACAGTCAGCAAGGAGCAGCAGCACAGTGGGACAGAAGCGTGCTCAGAGAGGCAGTGGTCCCTTGCCAGCATGTACAAGGAAGAGCACAGGGGCTTAAGTCACTTGAGACATCTGTAGTGGTTTATAAGCTGGTCAGTGCACTTGTATGCAAGGGTATGAGTGCAAAGCCTTTATCTCTATATATAGGTACATGCTTTATTCTTAAAATTGCCTGCAAGACCTTAATTTTTCTCCTTTGTGGATATATAATTTGGGAATCAATCTCTAATGTTACAGATTTTTACTGCTTTGTAATTGGTGCAATATTTTAGGTAGTGCTTTACAATCATGTAGAGTTATAAATTCCATAATGTGTTTTCCATGACAGCTGGCTTTACTCTCCTGCTCCCATGTAGGGAGTTACTACTCAATAGGCTGAATGTCTGAAATGACACTGGGTGGGGGGGGGAAATTTCAAAAAAACCCCAAAAAACCCAGGAAGGAAAAAGTGGTGAATGGCAGCATGTAAACAAAAGAATTTGAAGCTTTCACCAAAGAAAACTTATTTCACCTACTAATAAAACCATGTATATCAGAAAACCAGTCCATAGATGTGGAATGGAAAGAGATGTGTGTTATGCATGTACAGTATGCTACACATTTGGCATAATAATAGAAAGTGGTAGTGCACAAGATGGCAATCTGTAGGATTGGGAAAATGTATTATATTTAGGGAAACCTCAGGTTTTAGCTATGCATGTTTTGTAGTTAATTGCATCAGCCCTGGGTTGCTCCTAAGGAGGGCTGTGTTGCATGTGTTTATGCAGCTAATTAAGCTTCACTTTTTACTGCTTTATTCTCTGCATTGCATCTGAGTAAATTTTGTTTGTTGTTTTAAACTGTTCAATGTATGCAGGCCTAAGGGGAGGGGGGGACATAGGTATTTTAGAAAAGCAGAAATTTAGATGCTGTATTTGTTTACTGTCACTAAGAATCTAGGAAAAAAAACATATATTCTATGATTATTTGAAACTGCATATGCACCGTAGTCAGTGAAGGTCAAATATATAGCTTTAATAAGGCTATTCTCTAAGTTGAGTGCTTAACTTTGCATAATTAATAGTCTGTAGTCATTTTAATGCACTCCATACTCTAGTAAAGTGTATAAGCAAGTTGTAGTTCTCTTTTACATTATTACTGCAAGGCTACATCCTGTTTTAGGATATATAATGGACAGAAAAGAAGTGTAATCTAAGATTGAAGAGGAGTACACAAAAACAGAAGGAACTTTTCTTTTGCATCAACTCTAGGCTGCTATAGGTTGCATCAAATAGGGGCTGCTTTTCTTCACTTTCAAGGTCTTTGCTGTTCCTCTCCATCCCTCATTCAGTGCACAGATGATTCCTTCACCCTGCCAGCCCCTGGTATGAATTTCCATCAGCCATTTGCCATACTTTCAGATTTGCACATTTGTGCTTTTCCCCCACCGTGCTTTCCACAACTGTACAGCACAATCTTTCCATTGTCTTCCTTCCCTTCTTTAATGCTCTGTTTTGCTGTGATCCTGCCCAAAACCTTGGCCAAAACCCCAAGCCTGGTCAGTAAGGTGCTAGGACAACTGCCTGTTGTGCTGACTAATGTTTCCTTACTGTCTATGTACTCCTACATCAATCTCCCTGTTGTCTCTGCTGTTTCCTCCTTTCCTAAATCAGCAGAGTTTGATGCAGGTTTGCCCTGCTGCACAGCACCAGTGCAGCCAGTTCTGTCACCTCTGAGATGACAGGGTGCTCAGGAAATGCAGTAGACCTGTCTACAGTGGAGAACGTGCTTGAACTTGTGGGCAAGGCTGCTGAGAGTTTAAAGTGGCTTCATAATTTCACATTGTGCACTTGATGAGTCTGGTAAAATGGGGAGCTGGTTCTCCCCAGCAGTGCTTTGGAGGCAATGTTCTTCTTCATCTTGCTAAGGAGAGCTTGGAGGCATGCAGTCATTCCTCCTGACTTCAGATGTCTACAGTGCAGCTTTTACCTTCTGAGCTGTCTATCCTAAAGAACTTCCTAATCACTGGGATTAAATAGCTGGATATAACTGACTGCTGCTAGACATCTACTTTAGAATTGGAACAGTGATACCAATGGGACAACTTAGTGCTTCATGTTGACTGGTATGAAAGCATAAATAGGTTAGTCATGAAAACATCTGCATTGCAGGCATCTGGGTCTGGTTAAAAAGAAAAAGGAATGAAAAAAAGATCATTCACTGCAACTGAGGAAAGGAATGTGCATGTTGCATGGCCAAAATATCACTTACTCCTGACACAAGCTCTCTCAGCTTGTACAGGGCTGTGAGCCCCTCTCCTTTATGCTTTCATGTCTTTTTGTGGGAAGCTACTGCCTGGGAATGGTAAAAAGGGAAGGGAAAAGAAGAGTAAGGAGCTGTTGTACAGCTGTGCCTGGAGTTCACCCAACACAAGCTGAGGAGATGCTGCTCCTGTTCTTCTTGTTCTCTTTGTGCATGTGCACAAAGCCTCCACCATTTCTCAAGCAGACTCAGTAAAAGTTTGCTGTGTGATTCATTCCTCCTCCCAGTGATAATAATCAAGTGGAAGTGACTATAAATGCTCAAAGAAAGAGTAACCATTGCTAGGAATATCAAACTGATCAACCATTACCTGGATTCTACAGAAGGAATCAATACCAAATATGGTTTCTTGAGAATCACAGGTGTAATCACTGAACTCTGTCGGCATAATGATAACTGTTTGATCTCTGGCATGTGGCTTAAAATGAAGGTCATGTTCAAATCAGATTGGAATTCAGGGAAAGCTGCTTGGCTTATTACCATGGCTATGGTGCTGGATTCTATTTACATTAGTAAACAGTTTAAAATACTTGACATGTTATTCAATTAAATCTGTGATTGCAAGCTGACAGACCAAAGTTCATTGATTTTTCCAACCACATTAAACTAAGTACATGGCACAGTGTTTCATTTAGCCTGTCTGCTTAACCCTTTCACCTTGATTCAATTACCCAGAATAAAATTAATGTGTAAAATGTTAAATAACTCCAAATTTCTAAATTAGAAGGTATTGCAAGAATATATTAATCTCTGTGGCTTCTGACATACATTTATTACTGTATGATTTACAATTTGCTATGGATCACATTGTTACCCAGATGGCAAAAGTCAGTCAGACCGTTTTTTCTCTATACTCATTTGGTAAATTGATAGATTTGTGGAAAGTAAGACTGAAAAGGACATGAGATTATCTTCTCTGACCCATCTAGATCTCTGGTCATAAATTTTCCCTTTGCTGCAGGGTGAAGACCAGTCTGACAAAGGCACAATTTGTGGTTTTTGCTAAAGCAAGTCATGTACAGAGATGGGCCAGCTTGATTTAAGGATATCAAGGAATGAAGACTGAGCTCCTTCTTTAGTCATTTACTCCAGTACTCAATCACTTAGAATCATGTGCCTTATTTTAAATTTCAGTTTGTCTAGATTTAACTTTCAGCCATTAGTTCTTGGTATGCTTTTCTTCACTAGATCAATTCGTCCCTCACTACTTTCTGTGAAAGTTTTTGAACCCTGTAATCAAGCTACAAGACAACCTTCTTTTTGACACTGTAACTGTTATCTCTTTATTTGATTTAATGCATTTTCTATAGCTTCCAGCTTGGTTTTGTGGCTCCCTCATACATTCTCTCAATTTTTTCCAACCATTTAAGAAGCAAGCCTGCTGGAACTGAGCATAGAAAGTTAGCATTCATTTAAAATCTCAGAAGTGCCAACTTTTGTACTCACTGTTTCATTGGTTTTGGATCAACCCCTTGACATAGGATTGTATAGGAAGACCATGTTCAATTATTTTTAATAGTAGACAAGTGCTCATGAGATTTATTGCTTTCCAGGATTTAGTCCTTGGTTCCATACTTGATGTTTGTAAATGTTAGTCTTTCTGTTTGGATGTATTAACTTCAATTTTTTTCAGTATGTGTAGATTAGTAAATGATGGATCATTTCATGTGCCTGTACTGCTTTCATTAGTATTGACTATCTGCTAATCTTCATGGCATCTGCAGATTTTACCAGCAATGATTACATTTTCTTCCATATCATCAGTAAACATGCTAAACATGCTCATTCCTAGTATTAATATTCATGGGATTCAGAGAGAAATAACATTATTCAGTCATGACTCCATATTTGTACCTTCTTTTTGAAAACAGAAAACTGAAATAATTGAGTTGATTTCTAATGTATTTATTACATTATGTGCTTTTGTTTTGGTCAGAAAGTCATGTGGCACTAGGTGTAATAGTTGCCAACAACTGAGGTTTCTTCAGTTTTGTACAAAAACATGACTTAATGTTTTTCAGATAAGGATAAGAACCCAAACTAGAGACACTGCACAAAAAACCTCTAAAATTGTGTTTTATAATATGTTTAGGGGGAAGCAAACAATTGAAAAATACTCAAAGTAAATAGTCTCTCAAATTTATCTTAGGTGTTTTCAATTTGTTGCTCTGCAGGGAATGATTTGCATTAGTTAAGAATGATGGTTGTGTAAGATTCCTCACTTTTAAACATCAAGGGAACATTCTTATTTTTTCTACCTTTTCCTGCAAGATGTGATCCACAGTTTCAGTTACAAAGGTGTCTATTGTTTGTATTATCTGTTGTGTTGTATTTCTTCTGGCTGGTAATTGAGGAAAGATCCCTGCAACGAGTTCATTAAGTGCTGATGAATAAACCAGATTTGAGATGTAGAAGTTTGCTTGCGAATTTGCATTCACAGTTTTATAGTGGGATATGTAAATTTTCAGTTCCTTACAAAAGCAGTTCTCTGAGCAGATTTCTAGAGTACAGCACAGGCATGTTAAATGTCAGCAGCAGCATTGGCTATCCAAACCCTAAGATAACATCAATTAAGGATTCATCAGAATTATTAATTGAACTGTGGCTGTATAAGACCTTGCAGACAAACAGCATAGAGCTTTCAGCTCCCAGGATTTGAGTCACCTTGCAGGTTTCCAAAAGTTCCTGCAACTCTCCCCTACACTGGAAGTCTTAGGGGGGAAAAAAGCAGCATTCCTGTCAAAATGTCCTGGTGCTATCCTTTCTTCCAGTCTGATTCTTTTTTCCATAAACAAAAATCATCAAGGTTCAATATCAAGCCAAAACTAGTTCAGGTGTCTTTGTCAGGGTTCCTGAGGCATAAAGGCTTTGCTGACTGTTGTATTTCTAAAAGTCCCCTCTCCGTCTACTTTTTCCATGATTTGCAAGGCCTTGCAAAGTGAGAAGTGATCTCAAACAACCCTGCAGGTACCAGGGTGGGAATTTGAACATGGGCAGATCCTGGCAAGCAGCAGGCAGAAGTGCCTTACTGAGGTGAACAGCAGAGGAGACACAAGTGTAGCTTTTCCTTATAGGTTGTGATGGTGACCCACAGACCCACTGTGCTCTGTGCTTGACAGTGTTCTTGTGGGTAACCTGAGACCTTTATTTTCAAATGAGAGCAGTGGAAAACTTGGGAGGTAAAAGTCACAAAGATGAGACAACACTGAGCAAGTATTTCCAACAGGATCATTGGTCTTTTGAGAAGAAACTAGGGGTCCTCTCTATCAACCTTGGTGCAGCTCCAGTTGTGCAAGGCTAATCACAGGAATCACTGGTGTCCTGAAATCATAATTGCTTGGTACAGCAGTCTCTTGAATGGCATTTAGCTTGAAGCTGACCAAAGAAAAAAGTCTGAAATCATACAAAAATCATAAAACTATATTTTAGAAATCCAAACTAGAAACTAGACCAGACTTTGTCACTCTCTTCTTTGTGAATGTCCAGGTGTTCTGGTTTAACCACATTCAGCACCCTCTCCCTGATAGCAGGACAGGGAGAAGATCAGAAGAGCAGAAGGATGCTTTAAAGACAGTTTAATAGGAAAAGCAAAAGCCACGTGCACAGGGAAAAGAGAAGAAGAAATAAATTCATCACTTAACACAGACAGGCAGGTGTTCAGCCATCCCCAGGGAAACAGGGCTCTCTCACGTGTAACAGTGACAAACAGTGACAAACACCATCACTCCAAACATCCCCTCCTTCTTCCCCCAGCTCTCCATACTGACTATGACTCCATATCTCCAGGTCAGCTGGGGTCAGCTGTCCCCTCCCAACTCTGTGCACCTCCAGTCACCTCACTGCTGGGATGAGGTGAGGAACAGAAAAGGCCTTGAGTGTTGGAGCAATGCTCAGCAGCAGTGGAAATATCTTTGTATTACTGTAGTGGTTTGACCCCAGCTGGGTTCCAGACACCCACCAAAGACTCTTTCTTGCTCCCCTCTGCAGCTGGACAGGGGACAGAAAATACAACAAAGGGTTTATGGGTTGAGATAAGGACCAGGAGAGATCCCTCATCAAATACTGTCACAGGCAGAACAGACTCAACCTGGGGATATTAAATTAATTTATTACTAAGAAAATCAGCAGGATAATGAGAAGTAAAATAAGTTTTAAAAGCACTTTCCCCCACCCCTCCTGCCTTCCCAGCTCTACGTCTTCCCCCAGCAGTGCAGGGAGGTGGGAATGGGGGTTATGGTCAGTTCATCCCAGATTGTTTCTCCTACTGCTCAGGGAGAAGAGTCCTTCCTCCGTTCCAGCTTGGGGTCCCTCCTACAGGAGACAGCTCTCAATGAGCTTCTCCAATGTGAGTCCATCCCACAGGCTTCAGTCCCCCCAGACTGCTGCAGCACAGGTCACTCTTCCACGGGGTGCAGTCCCTCAGGCACAGCCTCTTCCAGCCTGGGTCCCCCACAGGGCCACAAGTGCCACCAGCAAACCTGCTCCAGGGTGGGCTCCTCTCTCCACAGCCCTGCAGGTCCCTGCCAGGACCCTGCTCCAGCACGGGCCTCCCACAGGGTCACAGCCTCCTCTCAGGCACCCCCTGCTCCAGTGTGGGTCTCCTCCACGGGCTGCAGGTGGATCTCTGCATCCCTGTGGATCCCCATGGGCTGCAGGGGCACAGCTGCCTCACCATGGGCTGCACCAGAGGCTGCAGGGGAATCTCAGCTCTGGAGTCTGGAGCACCTCCTGCCCCTCCTTCTGCACTGACCCTGGTGTCTGCAGGGCTGCTCCTCTCATGTTCTCATTCTGCTCTTCTCTGGTTGCTATTATAGCTGTGCAATAACCTTTTTTTGCCTTCTTAACTATGTTATCACAGAGGTGTTATCATTATTCCTGACTGGCTCTGCCTTGGCCAGCAGTGGTTCCATCCTGGAGCTGTCTGGCATTGGTTCTGCTGGACATGGAGGGAGCTTCTGGCAGCTGCTCCCAGAAGCCACTGCTGTAGGTCCAGCACTACCAAAACATGGTCACACAAATCCAATGCAATTATCAACCCTGCTTTCAGCACAAATCCAAAACAGCCCCACAGCAGCTATTGGGAATTAACCCAATTAACCCTACCCCAGTGGAAACCAGCACTCCACAACAGGACACGCACACCACCTGAAAAACATACCCAACCAAAAGCATTCTACTGACAGTTATTCTTTCTCTTCTTTGCCTTCAAACCTGAGTCCATGGACCTCAATATTACCTCAGTGCATGGATTGGTGTGCTGGCAATGCATTATGCCCTGCAGCATTCCTCATCCCCTTCCCAATCCAGCAGCCTGAGCTTTTGAACAAGAGTCATTACAACGGGGGTGCTGTGCTCTGGGATGCCCTGAGGCAGCAGAAATGTCTGCAATCCAGCTCTCAGCTCAAGAGCATTGTGCACCAGGATATTAACTGTAAAACTGGCAATATTGCTTTGGTGCAGAGGCTTCCTCCAGGCACCCACAAGACAGATGGCTTTATCAGCACACAGCCATTCACCTCTGCATTGCAATTGGGAAGAGGCACAAGCGAATTTCCAACTATCTTTGCTAAGCAATTTTACAGCTGTCTATCTGAAATTAAAGCACCCTCTCTTGGTTGTGCTTTGCATTTTTATAGTGACTAGCAATCTTCTTTCTACAGGGCTACATTCAGCCTTCCACTGAGCTTCTGATGCCCACAAAAATATGTGACACTAAGTTAATGAAGATGAGTGCTTCAGGCTGTAGGGAACCAAGCAAAGGAGAAATCTGTGTAATCTGTATAATTGGACACTTCTACAGACACTGTAAAAAACAAATTATCTCTAGCAGGGAAAGGTTTTTGTGTACAAGTTCATAGGAATGTACTGATCTGCACTTCATGGAAAGTCTTTGTAGAACCTATACAAAGGCAGCTCCCCACCCACAGGAGGAATAAGTCCCTGAACTGAAATGCTCAGGTCTTTGAATAGGTGTGATCCAAGGACCGAAGCAGTGGGTTTCTCAGTAACTGAGTGTCTCTCCCACTCAAATGGGTGGGAATCCATGAACACATCTCTGAAGTTGGAGAGATTTTCCATCTGACTCAAACTAGTCAGAGGTAAGTTTGAAGATTAAGAAATCAGCGCATGTGCATCCCTTGGCAATTGTACCTGTGCTCTGGTTTTCAAATGAAGTTGACTCCAGCTTCCCCTACATGAGAGGCAAGAGTGAGATGTGTTTTAAGAGTGGTACCACCTCACCATCAGGGAAAAGCAGAGGACTGAGATTTCTATAAGCTGTGAAGTGGGGGGAGTTTACAGTTAGCTCTGAAAGTAACCTCCAGGAGGGAGAATCTGCCACTATAATTCTTAACTTATGGAGAAGCTCTGCTCTTAAAGCAGTCTCTGCATCCAAACTGGAGAAGTCAGCATCTGCTAATCCATAAAAATCTTGTTGACAAGGCTGTGATGCAGGAAAGAGGTAAAAAACTCAAAGGACTTGTTTTTGGTTTTTTTTTTTTTACCTTTGTATCTTAGTGCAGTGAATCCACATTAATTTTTTGCTTTGGAGAAGGAATATGGGAAGATGGAAGGAGCCCTCCTTTGAGTTTGAAGAGAAAATCCCAACAGGTTGAATTTTGACCCTTGATTTGCCTGGGAAGACTATGGAAATTATGGTAACAGCACAGTAACATGAGAGGGAGAGGACTCCATCCAGAGGAAGGAGGGAAGCAGGAAAGAGTGGAAGGACACATACAGCTTGAAGAGGCCTGTTTGCAGATTCTTCATAAAGAAACTTTTTCTACTTTTCTTTGTACCTTTTTTGCTCTTTCCTGTAACTTCTCTAAGTCTGCTTCATAGTTTCAAAGATGAGAGAACAAAAACTGCCCATGTTATTAAAACTGCTGGTTCACCACACATTTGTTGAAGTGTGCTCTGGTTTGTTTTCTAATCCTTTTCAAATAATGTAGTTGCTTTTTTTGACCCCTCACTGGGTATGGAGCTGTGATCTTCATGGTATCATTTTTTAATTTATGAACAGAACTTATCAGTTTATGTAATTATGCCCACCATTTTGTGATATCCTATGTGGAATTTTATCTGCCATTTTATCTCAAGTTGTGCATGATCATAGTGCTTTTCTGCAGCTTTGCACAGTCAGCTTTTGATTTTAATCCCTGTGATAACTGTAATGGAATCAGCAGTCTCTGTTCTCCCATTATTCATCACCTTTTCCAGGTCATTTAAGACTTTGCTGAGTAGCACAGATCCTGGCAAAAAGTCCCAAAGGATTGTGTTGGTGATTTCCTTCCAGCGGGAAAACGACATTCCTACTTTTTTTCCCAAATTTTTAAATTGCTTATTCATTTAAATTAAGATCTTCTTAGCTCATGACACTTCCTTTTTAAGGGCTTTCTTTTTCTCC